GTGAACAGGTCGCTGCCAGTGTTTGGTAGCGGCTCGTGGGAATAAGTGTGTTTATGTGCACACTCGAGTACGGTGTCGGTGTACCGTCTACACAGCTATGCGTGGGGGCTTGAGTAGAACCCTGAATAGCTTCCAATACATTCTAGTACTGTTCCTCCGGTTTTCTTGGTACCCCTCACATCTAAAGCCTCCCTCATTTTTTGTAAGGCCTCTATCATAGATGGCCGAGCAAGACGAGCCAAGGGCCGAGATTTTGTTTAATTTTGTTTACAGGTGTAAGGAGATTGCCCAGTGTTCTTAGTACGTCATTGCTTTGAGTTTTGTTTCAAAAGCTCCTCGTCGTCCGCCCCCGCTACCCCAGCACTGTCGCCTCTGGAGTTGCTTCACTAGGTGGTATTATTAGGCGTACCCCTTAAAGGGCACCCCTTCTGAACCCTACTTTTGGCTCTCTTAAAAGTGACCTTATTGAGAGGGTCTATGTCCCCAAGGGTCCCCCTAATCCTTGCTCCCATTCACTCAACCCAGCCATCGGCGCGTCCAAGGATTTGAATCTGAAGAACTGGGAATTGGGCATACGAGCTGACCAAAAGATACCGAGCAGGAAGATTGTGAAAGCTCGCCCTAAACCCTAAATCACGTTTCGGGGTTCGGGGTTCAGGTTTTAGGGTTTCGCGTTTGGGGCTTCGGGTTTTGGGTTCGCAAAGTTGTAGCGGAGCCCCAGTAATTTATCACGGTTGTATAAGCGCTTCAAAAGGGTTCTACAAGGGTTTCATAAAAGTTCTACGCGCATGTCATAGGCTTCTGCTACGGTCTACCAAGGATTTTGTGTTATCGGTAGGATCACCAAAGAAACAAAAACCCAAGCCCTGAACCCTTGAACCCTAAACCCTCAAACCCTTAAGCTCTAGATCCTTAAACCTTAAACCCAAAACCCTTAAACCTCTCAACCCCAGAACATAGATCCCTTCTAGTCCCTTGTAGACCCCGTCAAGGAGCCCTTTAAGGAGCTTCCTAAGCTCTACGCCCGAAACCTTCCCGAAACTGCCGTTTTCGGGCGAGGCGACAAGCCGGACTCTTCGAGGAGTTTAGCAGCTTCGCTCTCGGTCCGCTTGCTTTTTGTCGACTGACTCAGGGTTCCTGTAAAATCTTTAAATTATGGGTTTAGGGCTCTGTATCCCGAATAGTAGGGCTTAGGGTTTTAGGGGTTAAGGGGTTTAGGGTTTAGGGGTTTAGAGGCTAGGGTTTAGGGCTTAGGGTTTAGGGCATTATGGGTTTAAGAGCTCCTGAAGTAGATCCTTTAAAGGTATCTTCAAGGCTTGAAGGGCTTGGGGTTTCAGTTTAGGTTTTGGGGTTACATAGGGGTATATCCCGAATAGTAGATATTTGAGAGCGGCCTGCCATGCGGCCTGCCATGCGGCCTGCGTTCTTGCATATTATGTTTTGGTGTTATATCTAGAGTTACCAAGTATGTACATGCACATGCACATGAATTCACAAGCGTGTGCATTGTTACCTTTACACATGGACGTTTACGTTTACGCACAAGCCAGTGCATGAGCTGCTTATGTGTTCGCACTTCCCATGGTACGCTCGACTACCACAGTATCAAGTCCACAGCACATCTGCCGCCGCATCTAAGCACAAGGAATGAAATATATGAAACTGTGGACTTCCTTTATTGATCCAGCCCCGTCTTCAACTGGAAAACCCGGCAATCTCGGGTGCGGAGCCGACCCTTGAAGTGTTCTGATTATGTCTTGACCAGGTGAAGTTCCACGTGTGTGTTTGCGTGTGTGTGTGTGTTGAGTGTGAGTGTTCCGTCTATACTTTATTGTAGTATCTCAGTAGGACTGCCAAAGCTCTAAGCCCTAGAATCCGAAGGTACTAAGCCTCTCAGCCTCTCAACCCTAAACCCCTAAACTCTAAACCCCTAAACTCTAAACCCCTACACCTCTCAACCCTAAACCCCTAAACTCTAAACCCCTAAACCCTAAACCCTAAACCCCGAAACCCCTAAAACCCCTAAACCCTAAACCCCTAAACCCTAATCTCACCCACGGATTACGTCCCCAACGAAGGCTTGGGAGTCTCTAGGGATCAGATCTTGAACCTGCCAAAAGCATGCTTCCTGCTCTCCGGATTCCTGTTCTTCGTAGGATTGAGGATTTAGGGTTTAGGGTTACATAGGGGTTTTAGGGTTTATAGGGTTTTGGATTTAGTAGGACGTTGCTGAAACCTAAACCGCTTATCGGGTGTAGGGGATTAGCTCCGCTACTTGCACAACCCTAAACCCTAAATCCTGAACCCTAAACCCTAAACCCTGTTCCGTAAACCCTGAACCCTAAACCCTAAACCCTGTTCCCTAAACCCTGAACCCTAAACCCTAAACCCTGTTCCGTAAAGTATCCGAGGACGTGTGCGGCCCGGAGAGCACATGCAAGGCTTGGCAGCCTGGACCCTGACCAAATCCTGCACAAGCTTCGGGCTTAGGGTTTAGGACGCTTTAAGGTTTTGGGTTTAGGGCATAGGGGTTTAGGGTTTAGAGACCGGTTTAGGGGTTAAGGGTTTTGGGGTTTAGGGTTTAGCAGGTGTTTAGGATTTAGTGACAGTGTTTAGGACGTTCATAGGGCTCCTGCGTGCAGTTTCGGCTTCTGGTTTCACAGCGGGAGGCTTGATCCGATGTTATAGTGTCGCGTATCGTCTCCGTTCCTCCCTGGCAGATACGCCGCCGCCTCTGACGAACCTCAAAGAGGCAATGCTCAGGAGGCAGCGTGTGTCTTGCCAGTGGTTGTCTAAACCCAAATGTGTTTTCGGCTTGGCTGTTACCTGTGCTGTTATATGAATCATAGGATCCGCACCATAAAATAAGTTGTCCACACAAAGCTGCCGCAATTCAGGGTTTTGACACAGGTAATTTCCTCTAAACACGGCCGTTGCCGTAGCCCACTAGCCACATAGTCCTGTGATGTTTCACTCCAATAGCCAGCTCCACCAATACTCGGGCTGCCGACCTCAACTTCAGGGTTTTAGGGTTTAGGGTTTAGGGTTACCGAGGCCAAACTTGTCATTCCGTAATGTTATACTTTCCGGTTCTTGACATGGTCTAGCTGCTCTTGCTACTATCGCCATGACGTCTCAGCCAGAAAGCCAGTCTACCCTTCAGCTTTGCAACATACCTTTTATCATCTCAAGGATCCCTCCATGATTTAATGACCATTTCGTGGAGTGCCTGAAGCAAACTAAGGAGCATCCCATCAAGGCACCTAGCGCCAAAGACTAAAATCTTTTCACAAGTACCAAGATCAAGCTTCAAACGTGCTGACAGAGTACTACGCTCTCTGGGAGGTATGCGGCGTCCACTGCCGACGGCTCAGGGCATTGACGCCGCCGGGTTTCAAGGTAAAGGTTAAACCGGTGTTGCAAGAGCTTTAATCGTGCTTACAGGGTCTTATGAGGTTGTTATTGGGCTTTTTTAGGGACTTACACTGTGTCTGTTACCCTAAGGGTCCATGTACGCAAATAGTAGATACTTTGCGCTTAAAGTAGTCCCTATGTAGGTACTTTGGGCCCAAACCAAAGTATATACTATTGGGCACGTGGACCCTTAGGGTCATAGGGTGCTAGGGATGGATGTCGACCCCTGGTTGAGACACTTCGTTGCGTCGTTGCTCCAGGATCTTTTAGGTTCGCATCCTTCTAATCACGCCTATTGGGTTCTTGGCGAGGAAATAGCTTAAGTTGCCATACATCTCAAGGAGACCGCCTTGTTTAGCATGTATTTTCCATAAATCCATTTCGTGATAACTTAAGCCCAAGTCCTCCACGAGAACCCGGACTATCAAAGGATGGTGCTCGAACTGGTGACGCTCCTGAACCTCTCCTACGGACCCTTCGGGTCGTCGGCCTGGCATTTCTCGAAAAAGGCTTTGCTGGAAAACTTCCTGCTGAGCGACAGTGTCACAGGGCCTCTCTTCCCGAAGTACGAGAGCCTCATTTGCCGCGAACGCAATCGAGAGGAGCCTTCGTCAATGGAAGAGTCCTACAAACTCTTTGAGTCGATGTCTGGTCTCCAAAACTTCGTGAACAGAGGACCACTCATCAAGCTCATGAGATGGTTCTCGGTGTTTGAAGGATGCCTCAGCTGGCAAGGAGACTTCTGGGCTACGAAAATGATCTTGGAGTCAAAGCTGGCAACTGACTCTGAAGCAGGGTTCAGGGTTTAGGGTTTAGGGTTTAGGGTTTAGGGTTTAGGGTTCAGGGTTTAGGGTTTTGAAGCAGTGGTGCCGGCTGAGCAGGTGCAGGAGACTGCCGACACGGGCAACAAGAGGTTGGACGAGCGGCAGCAGCTGGTCAACTTGAAAAAAGTGAGGGAACATGGGCACTGGCTCCGACGTGCACGTGGAAGGTTTCTCTGAGCACGCCAGACGCTGCAAGACTCCGGGGGGATACCCTGCAGCGAGAATTCTCGTAAACCCCTAAATCATCCGAAATCCGTATTCTCGATGTCAGACATGTGGGTTCAAGATTGGGGGGATTGGGCTTTGGGATTTAGGATTGAAGACGTTTAGGGTTAATGCTGTAGGGTTATGGTGGGACTTAGCACTCCGACCCCTGTACCTTAGACCCTCAACGCACCACCTTAAACCCTTAAAGCCCTACAGATCCTACAAATCCCTCAGACGATCCGTCAAAGGCGCTAGCCCACTAAACCAGACTGAAACCCTCAGACCCCTAAAGCCCTAAACCCTCAACTCCTAAACCCTCAACCCCTAAATCCTAAACCCCCTTAAACACCCAAACCCCTAAACCCTAAATCCCCTTAAACCAAAAAACCCCGCCCCCCTCCTTCCCCAAAACAAAGCAACAGTTGCATAGTAAGAATACTCCACTGTGTTTTTGTCCCTACGCCCTAAACCCTAAACCTTAATCCCAAAAAGGGACAGAAGAAAACCCTAAACCATAAGCCCAAAAAGTTACAGAAGAAAGACATCGTCGCTGAGGCCATGGCCAGAGCTAGGGGCTTTGCTTCGCTGAAGCAGGTGCCCGGAAGGTCTTCGGGTTTTAGGTTTGAGGCTTAGGGCTCTTGCGCTTTGGGATTTAAGGGTTAAAGCTTAGGGCTCTTGAGTTTAGGGTTCAGGGTTTAGGGTTTAGGGGTTAAGGCTTTGGGCTCTTGGGTTTGGGGTTTTGGGGTTCAAGAGTTTAGGGTCTCGGTTCCTTCGAAGGAGGCCTTTGCGTTTTTTGTTAATAGAGGTTTTGGGTCTAGGGAGTACAAAGCCGGTCGGGGCTCAAGGCCGTGGCTTTTTGTTTATGCCGTTTAGGGTTGAGGGTTTAAGATTCAGGGTTGAGGCTTCAGGGTTTGAAGGTTCAGGGTTGAGGGTTTAAGGTTTAGGAGTTGGGGGTTAGTTAGGGTCTAGAAACCCGAAAGAATATTCAAGACGTTGTCTTTTCAATTCATTGTGGGTGTTCAAGTGTCGTCACGTTTCAGTTTTTAAAGTTTCTCTTTAGGTTTTGGACACCCTAAACCCTAAACCCTCAGCCTTGAACCCTAAACCCCAAACCCCAAACCCTCAACCCTAAACCCTCAGCCCTGAACCCTAACCCTAAGCCCTAAACCCTTAGCTGCTTCAGGTTCTGGACCCTTGAGTTTCAGGTTTTCAGGGGCGTGGGGCATGGGGTGGACTGCAGACGGCAAGTGCAGGCTCAAGAGACCTGTAGTAACTCAGCAGAAGGCAGCGCAAGAACACGGACACACGAGAAATTCGTGCTGGCTCTCTTTGTCTCAGGAGACTTGCTTGGGGCGATGAAGCAGGGAGTCAAGCATCGGTACCTGCGGAAGTGACCCGGAAGTGGCTTCAGGCTGGTGTTCGGGAAGGTCCAAAAAGCGTCGTGGTGCCTGCGCGCACAAACGTGTTCGACAGTGTCGCAGACCTGTGCGGCCAGGAGGGCTGGCAGACCCTAAACCCTAAACCCTAAACCCTAAACCCTAAACCCTAAATGGCAGCATGTCGAGCCGCGCCCGGGCCCAGGAGGCGGAAGCTTTGGAGGTAGAATGGACCCCCAAAACGAACCCTAGGCTTCCAGGGACCTCGTTATTGGGTCCTTAAGGGTTTTGGGTTTAGGGTTTAGGGTTTAGGGTTTAGGGTTTAGGCCCTAACTATAAGGTCCTTGGAAGCCCAGGGGAATACAGACTCCGGAGCATTTGTATACCTCAATTGTTCCGTAGGGGTTCTCGATAATGCTAAGGACCTTATACTAAACCCCTGAAATAAAATCCCCCCAATGGTAGCGCTTACATTAACCCAATTATTCGAAAGCAGCCCTGTAAAGGAACTCGAATTATTAAGGAGCCTATACTACAAACCCCCATTCCCTAAGCTCTATACCCTAGATATCCCCCTAGATCCTCATCCTTACGCCCCAGAACCCTAAACCGTGACCATTCGAGCCGTTGGCAGTATGGTAAACACCAAAAAGATGGAAACCGGATTGAGGACAATTAGTGCTGGGATTCCCTCTACATCACTCTTAAGGAATGAGGCTACTGGGTTTCCCAACTTTAGGGCTTCTACCAAAACCCTAAACCCAAAACCCTAAACCCTAGACCCTAGACCCTAAACCCTAAACCCTAAACCCTAAACCCTATAACCCTAAACCCTAAATTCAATACATTGGGCCAGGTCCGACCCATGGCTGCTAGGCAGGCAGCCAAAGCTCATGCCAGGCTGCCCTGGTCTGTAGAATTTAGGGTTTACCTGGAGATTCGCGGGACTTCGTAGGTGGCTAATAAGTAGACTTATAAGTACCCTAGCGATCCTAATTGGGGTTATAAAATAGCTACTTACTAAGTCCCCGGACCCTCCAAGTAGGGATGCCAAGCTGCCCTGGTCAGTTTCGAGCTCAAGGTAGTTTGAGGGTGTTTTGTTACGTGTATCAATACAGGTGCTACAATGACAAGGGTTGCTTACGGTTTGGGGTTTAGGGCTCGGGGGTTTAGAATTTTGCTTAAGTCAGGGGCCTTGAAAATTAGGGTTTTGGGAGGGTATCTTATATGGGAAACCTTTGGCGTCGGATTTGGGGTTGCGGGTTTGGGGCTTAGGGTTTGGGGTTTCCTGTTGAGGGTTTCGAGTTTAGAGTTGAGGGTTGAGGGCTTAGGGTTGCGAGGGTTTTGGATTTAGGATTGAGAGTTTGGGGTTTTAGGGTTCGGGGCTTGGGCTGTGGATTTTAGCGCTGGAGCTTGAAGCTTTGGGTTGTGTTGGTGATGTTCGGGCAATTGACTTTCGGCTTTAGAATTGTGACTTCCTTCCGCTTCAGAAGTCAGGTGGGTGGCAGCAGACTGATGCGTCGTGCAGGTTCCGCGGCTTTGGTGCCGAAGCGGCGCCGCGTGTCAAGCACACCTGTGCGGGAGCCTATCGAAATCGTGGTGGACCTTTATGCAGCGGCGGGGGGCGGCCACTTGGTGAACGCGTCGTTCGACGAGGACGAGGCGGTGTATTTGGTGCAGTTCCGAGATCCGTCCACCCCATGCAGGCGAATCGCTCCAGCGACTGAGCTGCTGCCCATCTTTCAGGCCACTTGTGATGTGACGGCCTTGAAGCACGCGCGTTCATCTCTGTTTCCGCTCATCCCTGCCAAGCTGCTGCACAACACTGCCGTCCTGTGGAACCTCATCGGCAATGACGAGACGTCTGTGCCAGTGGTGATCGATTTGCAGGGCGTTGGCTGGCAAGGGTACTTCATCTCGAGGAGTCATAAACCTTAGGGTTTAGGGTTTAGGGGTTTGGGGTTAGGGGTTAGGCTAGGGTTCAGGGTTTAGGGCACATGGGCGTTTATGACTTCCGAAGCCGTTACGCCCTAAACCCTCAAGCCCTAAACCCATGTGGGACTCCAATATTTAATGGAGAAGCCGATATAGTTACCAATGTCATCTTTATTAGTGTTCCTTATCGTATAGTTATACATATAAACCTAGGCTCCATATACACTACTTTTATGGAATTAGGCCCCCAAAAAACCATAATGGGGATGGTCTTCTGGGTCCCAATTCCATAATGGTCGTCTATCTGGAGCCTCTGGGAAAGGAGCCTTAAAAGCTATTCTATTTATTAAGGCCCTTACACTATACCCTAAACCCTAAACCCTAAACCCTATAAACCCTAAACCCAAAGCCCTCCCCTATAAACCCTAAACCCAAAGCCATCCCTACAGAGAAACTGTAAAGGAGCCGAAAAACCTGTTCTAAGTATTAAGTCCTAAAACTTAAACCCTAAACCCTGAACCCCAAACCGGTCTGTAAAGGAGCCGAAAAGCCTGTTCTCAGTATTTAGGCCCCTAAATCCTAAATCCTAAATCCTAAACCCTAAACCCTAAACCCCTAACCGGTCTGTAAAGCAGCCGGGAAACCTGTTCTACTTACCCTAAAACCCTAAACCCGAAACCCTAAACCCTAAACCCTAAACCCTAAACCCTAAACCCTAAACCCTAAACCCTATTCTATTTATTCAGGCCCCGACATGACGGCTCCTGTTTCCGGCCAGGCCATTTCTCGAAGCGGTGCCGCCGGAGGAGGCGGGTTTAGGGTTTAGGGTTTAGGGTTTAAGGTTTAGGGTTTAGGGTTTAGGGTTTAGGGTTTAGGGACTTGTCTGAAAGATGAAGGTTGAAGATTGTCGGCTTCGGGGCTTAGAGTTCGAGAAGGTTTAAGGTTTTTTGTTTAGGGTTTGGGGTTTAAGATGGTTGAAGGGTTTTAGTTTTAGGGTTTGGGGTTTAAGATGGAGTTGAAGACCTGGGGTTTGAGGTTTTGGAGCTCAAAGGGTTTAGGGTTCAGGGGTTTGGACTTTTGGGGCTTTAGGGCTGTAGGTTTAGGGTTATCGTGTTTAGGGTTAGGGTTTATGGGTTTAGGGGGTTAGGGGGTTAGGGTTTATAGGTTTTAGGGTTTTGGGCTCAGGGTTCAGGCTTCAGGCTTGGGTTCAGGGTTTAGGGTTTAGAGGTTTGGGAGTTGAGGAATCAGATAAAAACGCTGCTGAACCGTTGATGGGTTCAGTTCCAATTACGCTCCATCGCCAAGGAACGCCGTCTGTTTGTTTTGGTAGCCATGAAGCGGAGGTTTCGAGATCTAAGTAAACTGTAATCCCAAACCCCCCCCCCCCATACCAAGCCAAAATCGACCCCGTAGTTAGAACTAGCTCGAAACCCTGAGATTAACCGTATTTACCCCAATGATATCGAGTTCACCATAAAACCTCAAGAGCACAACCCTTCACCCTAAACCCAAACCCTAGACCTTGTACTTATCGCACAGCCGTATAAGTAAGTCACCCGAAAGCCTACACTTGTACAACAACCCTAGAACTAAGCAACACACGCCCAGCCCCAGAATCGCACAAATCACTACAGAGTATAACCCTAACCCAAAGCCAACCAAAATAAGTCCGAAGAAGTTTGTGAATAGTTCTACAAATCAAACGGCAGTTAGAACACACCGTGCAAAGCACCCTTTATCAAGCCTGGGAAAGCAAGAAACGCCGTAACCCTTGGGCAGGTTGCGGAAGATGCCTGCACGCTTTGCAAGCGCCACCTGAGGCAGGTCTTTACATGGCTGGCAAAGCAATAACACGAAACGAACCCGAAACTCTAAACGCAACATCCTGTGCCCAAAACCTTAGGTCCACGACCCTAAGTCCAAAAAAGCTTAAATTCAAAAACCCAATCCAAAAATCCGAAACTCGATGATAAAGTTAAAGTTCAAAACCTTCAGCCCATAGCCCTGGGAGTTCAGAAGAGTTTAAGTTTAGGTGTTGCAGCACTGGCCTCGGTAGTATTCGGGAGACCCTCAAAAGGGGACCCATCTGAACCCTACTTCTGAGCTCTCTTAAAAGGGACCTTATTGAGAGGGTCTATATCCCCAAGGGTCTCTATAATCCGAACTCCCGTGCTGGGTCTCGCAGTAGTACCCTTTTGCCCCTTTTAGTTTCGTGGTTTAGGGTTTAGGGCTTCCAGATTAAAACTGAATGGTAGGAAAAGGGCCACTCCATGATTAAGGGGCTACTGGGGAAGCTAGCTGATGAAGAATGGAGGTCCTTGTCGATGTCAGGGATGTAAAAACTTTATGGTAGGGTTTAGGGTTCAGGCTTTGGGGCTCGGGTTGCTTGGGGACGAGGGTTTGGTTTCGGGGCTCAGAGCTTTAGGGTTAAGGGTTTAGGGCCTCTGCCACTTCAGCGCAGCCTATATGGGTAGTTCTCTACGCTAGGGTCCTGCTTTAGGCCCCCAAAATAGTACGGCACCCTCGCCTAAAGAGGGTCCTAATTTTGAAAAGTACCCAGGTCCCTCAACCCTAAACCCTCATAACAAGGACCTTAAAAGGGGCCTTAATTTAGGAAACTACCCGTGTCCCTAAACCCTAAACCCTCATAACAAGGACCTTGAAAGGGGCCTAAATTTAGGAAACTCAACACTTTCGCAACGATGCCCCGACACCCACCCACACTCACAGGAGCCACTAAGCTCCCTCAACTATCGCGGGATTTGCAAAAACAAGCAGGGTGTAGGGCTTCAGAAGAGGACGCTCTGGGAACCTATCGTTGGATAGGTTCCCACACGTTCTCTTCCAAAAACCTGGTTTGATTCAAGGCTCGCACGCGTTCTCTTTAACAAAAACCTGGTTTGATTCACGGCTCCAACAATGCCCTGAATCATCCTGGAATCCAAGATTGCACAAAAATCTTTTGAGGTGCATCTTGGATCTTGGATTCCGCGGCCCCGCCAGATTGATGTTCAATCAACCGGTTGAAATACAACAGGCCCCGACCCGGAATCCAAGATCCAAGATGCCGCAACTTGGAGGGTGCTAGAAAAACAGTCTCGGGCTGCAACCTCCGACATTCTGAAGCGCGATACTGCAGCAGCCTGCTTGATCGCCTCCCCGGTCAGGTTGTCCCTGGACCACAAAGAGGCGGGAAAGCGTGCTGCTTCCGCTGTCTGGACGGCGGAGGAAAATGAACTTCGCGGTGTCAAACTCGTGAGCAAGTAGGCGCCGGAGGATGACTCGGAGAATCAACAATATCATTGGATTCTCACCAATATCCGGCCAGACAGCAGCTCGCCCATAGCTGGCTGGCCAGAAGGCGAAGTCATCTGGATGGCTCAGAACAAGCCAAAACGCACGGTGGGGGCAACCCCCTCGACCTTCTTTCCCTTTACAGCGCGAAGTCTGAAGCCACTCATGCAAGAGTTCTTGGTGCCTTTGATTGGGCCTTTGCTGACTTTCTATGGAGTACTAACAGTTGGCTGGCCGTGGGTGGAAAGACACCCTGCTGACCGCTCTTCGTTTAGTTTAGCTTCTGGGCGCTATCACATTCGTCGGCTGGAGCTGGAGGCAGTTCTACCGGCATGGCGCCAGGCAAAACGGATTGATAAGTTTCGGCATAAGACCGGTTAAACTCAAGAAGGGCTCATTTTAGATGATCCATCCATGGATAAGTTGATGCGGCGGATCTCCAGTCGTGGCTCACACCAGATGAGGACCAGAACTGCAGCAGTCGTACACCGATGTTAAGTTGGTCCGCACCACGACGCTTGCTGTTGCTATCGTAGCATGCACGAGTAGATGCTTGACCATCCCTTTGTTGGCTTTGGGCCAAGATGGCAAGACTATAGAGGCGGTCATGTGAACTCCGGACACGAAATGTTGATCTCTTCAGCAGTTTCGCTTGGGCCTGCGTGTGAGTGCTCCTCATGAAATGATTGCCTTTGACTCTATCACTTGTCCAGTGGCTGCCCTTTAACTTCTTTGCGTGGTCGCATTCTTTACTCGCAACGAAGCGCCCGGCAACCCTCAAGAAGCCCTGCGCCTCCTTCCACAAGATTGGGCGTATGTCCTGCTTGCGAGAAGCCGCTCTTCATCCGGAAGGAAGGCTTGCCAGTGCGATTCTGATTGGGAGTGAGTCGATTACCGACATAGCTACCGTGTCCAAGCAATGCAACTGTGTGCCGGAACACCATTCGGCACAACTTGGTCACACTCGGAAAAAAGTCGATCAACGCCATGTCTTTGGCGGACATGAGGAGCACGGGTGCCATTTTCGTCACTTCGAAGACCGCTTTCTCCTGGAGCTTACATATCTTTGTGCGAAAGGCTTTAGCTGTGGCATCCACACAAGAAGAGTTTCCATCCGGGTCGTTCCCCCTCAGCGAACCGCCGGCTGGCATTTTGCAGTGCATCTCTCGACTCGGAGAGTCCTTGGGGCCGTGGAGCATGACCAAAACGAGAGCAAGAAGGACAAGGTGCGTCTCCTCCAGGCGGCCATGAACATGGACGAAGTGGAGGCCGACTTGCTGATTCATGACTATATCTGCCACTTCCCGAAGTATGCCTCTCAGAAGAAGCATGCACCGGACTTCAGCCCCATTAGCTACTACGTGGTTGGCGCATTCCATGCACCCAACCACAAGTGTTCAAAGTCAATTTGGACCCCTGCTGAGCAAACGCTCGGCCGTAATGTCAGAAGTAATGTATCCGAGTCCTTCAATGCGTGGGTTCGCGGCCTCAATTTCCTTATCAAACAACCATTGTCCCAAGTCGCATGCTTTGATAGTGTAACTTCTACATTAACAGTAATCTGCAGTCTGTCCCGATTCACAATTCCTGGCGCAGAAACGTCCTTGGCAGAGCCAAAATTGGGCCAAGATGTTGAAGCGGCCCTTGAAGTGACCTGCTGCCGTGCAGAAGCATCCGGCCAGTTCTAGCTAGTGGCGCCTCCAATCTGGCTGGAAGCTTGTGCATCCACGTTTTGGCCTCAAGGGCATGCAGCTGCTGAGAAATCCGAGGAACACTGCTGCACATGTTCTGCTGTTCGTGCAGCGGTTGGCAAGTAGCTTTTGAAAATCAGTTGCACATGCCTTGCTGTGTAAAGTTTTCTTAACTCCAGTCATCCAAGGTTACTCGTTTGCAATGGTGGTTCGCAACTTGGAGGGCTTGAGGGCTCTCCGGTATTGGTTTGAGAATTTTGTGCGTGCTTATCCTTGGTGAGTCGTTCTCGAACGGCCCGAACACTGCAACCCACAGTTCCCACAACGTCCTCCTCTGAGAAGTTTAGGGAGTACCTAAAAGCCACTAGAAGGCTCCTGCAGATCCCATAAACAAGTAGGGAGTATTTAGAAGCCACTAGAATGCTCCTATCATTTGGGGCGTTTGCTGCGGCCCCTTGTTTTCTGAACGCATCGAAACCCCTGCTCGATGAGGCCCCGTCTCCTATCATCAGGAGTTTGGACTCTGAGTCTCCGGATTTCCTAGGTAGCATTAGGGAGAACCCTCAAAGTCGACCCTTCAAAACCCTACTTATGGCCCTTTTAAGCGGGACCCTATTGAGAGGGTCTATATCCCCAAGGTTCCCCTTAATCCTGACTCATAGGATCTTCGAGCTCCATGTAGCCTAACGCCCTGCACCCGAAACCCGACAGCGCAAAATCCTACGGCACTGTCGCATCCCCGTCAGGCGAATGCCAAAGATGACGCGAAGAATATTCGAAATCTTGATAGGAACATGCACGGTTAAGGGTTTAAGTTTAGGGTTTAGGGAATTTTGACAGGAACACTCCTATGATTGAAGTGTTAGTCATGTAGTCAGGTGTTCGAAGCTCCCGGCTCTACATCCTACGGAGTCGGGAAAAGAAAACTAATCTTGCAACAGAGAGACCCAAAGGGTCCTAGGTACTGTTACGGGGGATACTTCGCCATTTCAAACCGAGTACTGAACCCGCAGCCCTGCTCCAATCTTTGGTTTGGGCAGGCAAAAGGGCACTGGCGTCATCCGGTCGGGGACTCGATGTTCTACTCTGTTTTGTCTACATCTCTGAAACCCCTACATCCTCAAATCTCCGACATAGGTACCTGAAGAATTATGCAGAAGAATACGTTGTGGTACATGTAAAATGATACGTCGGCGAAAAGCGTTGTTCAGCCCCCCAAAGTAGTCTTAAATTGCAATAACAGGGCTTTCGGTCGGGATTTACAGGCAATTTGCAGGGCTTTGCCGGGACTACAATGGTTGTAGGTGAGTTGCTTTTAAGTTCCCACGACAAGGGTAAATCCATGTAAATACATGGGAATCGCTTTCCATATCATTGTGTCTTCCATGAGGTCTTGAAGAAGAACCTCGTGCAGTGTCCGATTCAGGGCACCAGGGTTCAGAATCGGACTTTTGGGGTTTGATGGAATTCAGAGTGCCGGCGCAGGGCTTAGGTTAGGGGTCGTTAGGGTTGAGGCTTTTGGGTGGGGGGGTTGCAGGGTTCAGGGTTTAGAGGTTTCGTGCTTCTTAGTACTCAAGAAGACTTCTGAAAGCATAGTAGACTCCGTATAAAACACGCACCAAAGATTGGGCCTGGCAGATTAAAAGTTGCCACAACTATGCCCAAAGGGTTCAAGTATCATTTTAGTAGGCTCTTAGTGCTGTAGATATCTGGTCCCCAAAATATGTGCTATACTGTTACTTGGACCCTTGGGATGTAGCAACTACAGTACGAAGGAATTATTCAGGCCCTTGTGCAATCTTCAACTTGCCTGCTGAAGAGTAAACTCGAAACTC